AATCAATAATATAGAATGAAAATTTTCTTGGGTCTTATTAAATTGAAATTTTAGCTATATTTATTTTCTAACTAACTAGTAGACTTTAATTAATTAAGTAAATAATCAATAGCCAATAGACACTGTACTCTTTATGGAAATTCATTTTGCCTATTTAACATTTCATTTTTAATATAAAATCAGTTAAATTAAACTGATATAATATTAGTAAAGTAAATGTTTTAATTATTTGAAGAATTGAATATAAATATTTATTTTTATTATTATGGTTTTATTGATAACAGATTTATTTAATTATTTTTTCAAAAATAATCTTTGAATAAAAAAATAAAATATTTATTCTTCAAAAATTTAATCATAGATTAGTGATAAAATATATTAGTATTTGAGAATTAATATTATTTTGTTAAAAAAATATTTATTAATAGCAGGTGAATGTCTGTGTCAATCTTTAAATACTTAAAAGACTTGGAAAATAAAAATACCCTTAGAGCAGCTATTATTTACATAACAGTTGCTTACTTTTTTCATGCTTTGTAAATAAAATTTTTTAAATATGGTCACTTTAACATAGTTCCATAAAGTCTATTTTTGAGAGCATTATTATGCTTAATTGTAATTTTTCTCTTTCAATCAAAACAAAAATATTATCCTAAGGTTAAAACAAAGTATTTAATAAAATCATAGTTTCTCAGTGCTATTGGTTCATCCATTTATTTTTATGGATTAAAATATATCTCTATTTCTGAGGCAGCAATCTTGTTTGCCACAAATTCAATTTGGAGTTAATTAATTGTTAGCTTTATGAAAAGAGAACATATTACTAAATCAAGGTTTATAAATTCTATAATTTGTATTGTAGGAATAACTTTAGCATCAAATCCTACGATAAATGTTGAAGATCCTTTTATGCATATTATAGGATGTTTAAGTATATTAATTTGTAGTGTTGTCTAATCGATCTCATATATTACAATGAAATAAATTGGATCTGAGGTTTCATCATCAGTTGTCACTTCATATTACTAAATTATGATCATTATAACATCAAGTTTATGGCAACAATAGATATGTAAATTTGAATATTTTACAGGATATTGGTTTTATTTATTTGGATTTGCATTTTTTACTCTTTTAGGATAAATGCTTTAATTTAGAGCATAAACTATGGTGACTTATGATAAGATATGCAATTATACTTATTCCTAATTTTTATATGTGATTATTATAGATTATGTACTCTTTAGAAAAATATTAAGTTAAAATGGTTTTATCGGAGGATCATTAATTCTCTTTGGAGTATTTAAATAATTATCTGATGATAAAAAACTTAGAGGATGACAATTTATTACATAATAATATATTCTATAAATAAATTCTATCAATTTATTTAATTTATTCCATACACTGTAATTAAGTTCATTAGCCTAATGAAGAGTTTTATTTACAAATATAGCTAATAATTAGCTTAAATATTAAATAGTCTTCATATTGCTTTTAGAACTGATAGGATTTGCTTTCCATTTTTATTTAATTCAATTTCATGAAATTAAACAGACAAAAATAACAAATTAATATTTTAAAAATGTATAGAATAGATATGAATATGCTGATTTTATTAATCACTTTTAAATGTTTTTCATAACATTCCTCTTTCATATATCAGCGGATATTTTTAAGCATTTATTTTATTAAAAAAAGATTTAATTCTTATATTTCAATATCTTAAACCATTATTAATATCAAATATATTTTAAATTAGTTTTTTAATTTTTGTTATCAATTTTGATACCTCAATTTTAAATATTATATGATCAATTTTTAAAATGCTATTTTTTATCATTAATAATGTTTTTATTGATGACTTAGTTTTTTTAATATCCTGTCATATTAGAAAAAATTTTACTATTCTAATTGATATGATAATTTTAAAAGGATTCTTTTATTAGCACATTAAAAATATTCTTATTCAGTTAATAATGGCTCTTACTAATTATTTTAATTTATTTGATGAAAATAATTTATTTAGATAAGAGAAAGATCATGTTCCATTCAAACAAATTGGATATTGATTAGAGGCTTCTTTTTCAGAAGATAAAGACATAAGAATTTGAACAGAACTACTTGGGATTCTTGAGGTATTCCCCTCATTTAATTTAGATGATATAAAATACTTAATTTAAAATTCTTATAAGAATGATTAATTTTTTATTGAAAAACAAATTTTTTTATGATTTGGATTAATATTGCAATCTTTTTTAATTTTAACTGAAAAATTTAATAAAGCATGTTGAATTGAATTTAAATAAATAAATCAGTACTTGCTTATTTATTTTTTTAAATTATTACTAACTCAAAATTTAGTATAAACTTGGACTAAATAAACAAAAGAATCTTCAAAGAAATTGTTTTTTAATTCTTAAAATTATAAATCTAAATGGCATAGCAGAAATTATAGTTTCAATTATTATTAAAAGTTTTATGCTTATATCAAAAATTACGGACTTTGCATTTTTCATTTTCCAGCATCAATTAATTGATTAGTCCAAATTATTACTATTTTTTTTAGCTAAAATTTCATCAAAATCGATCATTTTGGCTTCTAAAATCTAAAGCTACATTCAAAATAAGCAGATAATTGTAATTAAATGAAAATAGTTTCTTTATTATTAAATCCTAATCCTTTATTAACTAATAGAGTTTTTAATACCTGATATCTGAAATGAATCATTAAAACAATTATTATAATTAAATTAATCACAAAAAAAAAAGATAATTAATATTCTTGATAATATTAAATAATTTTCAAATAAATAATTGATTTCTAACGATTTAATAATTATGCAATAACATTTATGAACAAAGATGATTTTATTATTTAAAAATATCCTGCATATATTGCATTCCAAGGTGCAGTTGAAATGTACATTAAATGATATAGGATAAGGATGTATGTAGAAACCTGGTTCTTGTTCTTAATTAAAGAGTAAGGTTAATTGTGGTGAAAAAGCTATTATTTCAGATGAAGATTGTTTTTGGTCTTGATAAGAATGTTTACCAAGTGAATGTGGAAATTTAAAACTAGAAATTTATAATTTAGAGAACTGTTATATGAAATCATTCAAAAAGTTTACAGTTGATTCAGAAAAAAATGTAAACATTAAATAATAAAAGAATTGTTCAGAATATTAATCAATGGATTCATGTTAAATAAACAATTAAAGCAAGAAATGTATTATTAGGTTTGATACAATTAATAGTAAATATTTATGTGATCAAGAAAAATGTGAGGATTTATTTATATCCAATTATAATACTTTTTTAGCATGTTAAAACTACAATAAAACTTGCACAGTTATTTCGAGAGTTAATTGTAAAGGATGTCTTAATAGAGAAGAAGATTGCTTTAATTATAAGACTTTTGAATAATGTATTAAAAAATTAAAAGGAAAAAAATGTTTATGGAACTCTAATAAATGCTTGGATTATGATAATTTTTGATTTATTGATTTAGTATTAGCTAATTATTCAACAAAAACTTGTGAAAGTGTTGTTACATATTGTAAAGCAAATTTAAACAATACTGGATGTATTATAACAATATGTAATGATTATAACACAATAACATAAATCACTGAAGGTAATTTTTCATTTTACTACTAATATCTTTTTATATTTCGTTCATTATTACTATTTCTTCCCTCTATTTTATTCTCTCCATGTCATTTACTTTTAACATCTTTTTTATTAATTTTTTTTCTGTTTATGATATTTCTTTTTTTTGATTAACCTCTAAATCTACCCAAGCCTATAATAGTTATTCAGTTTATAAGTTTTTAATATCTTTCTTAGTAATTTTGTTAATTAATGTATATCCTGTAAGAATCTATATATTTCAGTTCCCACATTAGTGGTATTACCTTCTTTGTTTATATCTTTTGCAAAGCCAAAATCTATTAATTTGATAATAATATTCTTATTTTCATCATAACAACAAACGAAATTTTCTGGTTTTAAGTCTCGATGAACATCATTTATACTATTCTTCTATCATTCCTTCAAACATCTATTGTATCATACATTATTCTTACCTAAATGAAGAATTTATTTTTGCGATATTTTTCTAAAGTTTTAAATTCTTCTCCTTCTATATATTATTTAAAATTGTTGTCTACAAATTTGATAACTAAAAATGGCTTTAGATATGGTATCAATTCAATTCCATATCACCAAAATTTATATTTTATATTTTTTTGGGCTCAAGAATTATTTCGTAAATTCTAATAATTTATTTACAATAGGTCCTTGATAATTTAAATAAACATTCTATTTATTTTTCACTCAATTTAAATTTAAACTCCTTCACTGCTACTTTTTACTTTGTTCCTATTATTTAACCCAAGTACACTTATCCTTCAGATCCATCTACCAATAAATTATGTTTAATGATATTCTTACTCTTATCATCTGCAACAGGATAGAACATTTCTAAAATCTTCTATTAAATGTAATTTTAATAATACTTAGGAATATTTCTATAATTGTTAAGGAGAAATAGAAGCTTTTATTATTTACAATTAACTATTATTCTTAATTTACATATAGAACAATTATTTTCTAGTAATTGCTCTCAAGAGAAACCAATCTTATAAAATTTAGGATCATCCTTAAGATTCTGAATGAGATCTCAGTATTTTTATTATAAATAAAATGTAAATTAATTGAAATTACTTCGAAAAGTATCTAAAAAATATTTATATATAAATAAAGTTCTATTATAGAAGTTTATTGTTTTAGAAAATTTTGATAAAATTTAATTCAAATAAAATTGAAAAGAAAAAATAAAAAATCATAGAGCAGTGAAACATAAGAATAAAAAAATAATTAAATTGTATTTTATTTTGAGCTCGATCCATTAATTTCAAATAATTGAAGCAATGATGGACATAATATTAGAAACAAAGGAAATTGATAAAGGAAATATTAATCTACATGATGCCTATATAGAAAGTAAGAAAGTTGAGGTCTATCATAGGCAAACATAATATAGGCTTAAAGAAAGTAACTATAATAGCAGAAATAAATGAATTGTAATTATAAAAAGTATTAATGGTGAAGAAGCAAAATGAAAAAACGATGAAATTGATGATATAGATAAAGAGATACGTATAAAATAAGGGAAATTGGAGTAAAACTAACTAGATACCTAATAGGATAATAAAATACCAAATTAATGCTACTTTGATTAATGGAAATTCTCAAATGTGAGTGTACCAAGGAGAATTGTTAAATAGAGATCATCTTATATCACACCGACACCGGACAATAACCATGGATAAAATAAACAATTTGGTACTAGTGCCATCAATATAAGGAAAAAAATGCATCACTAGATATGCTATGACATAAAATATAAAATAAGAGAGATAGTTAAAAAAGGTTGGAGAATATTAAAAAAGAAAAGAAAAGAAAGATAGACAGATGAACTGATTCTGAATTTTTTATTAAAATATTATTAAGGGGCATTGTTAAAAGAAAGGTCAATAGTTTAATTTTATTAGTATTCTCGATAACAAGCATCGAATCTCTCGTATCATTAATCTAACATTTTTGAAAGCCTAAAACTTATTTTTGACAATAACCTATGATCAAAGTTGTTTAATTTATACATCAATGACAAGAGTTTCATCATTTTTGTCTCCAAAAATTGAAAAATAAAGAATAATTAAATGGATTTATCTCGGAATGCTTAGCTTTCATATTTCATTATTCCTTCTTCATTTATACAAATGTATATGGTTTAATTGAATCATTCCAAACCTACTTCATTAGGTGTTTGAAATCTTCCAAACAAAATTTTCTTAAACTTCCAAATTTTATTAAATTGGAGTATTATTTACTCATGATCTAAAACATTATTTGAATATCCCATAACAAGATCTTAAAAATCTATTTTTGTACTCTATATCTATAAAAATATGGAGTAATCAAATCAACAATAATTGAGAAGACTTCATTAGCATCTCTACTATTATTATACCAATGTTTAATGACTTGGATGCAAGATATAAATATGTTTGGCTAGTTAGTTTAATATTCAACTTGTTGTCTCTAAAGTTTCACCTTGCTTCACTACAAAGTATTTTTAAGTTCAAATTTAAATATATCATTTTAAAGTTATTTCAGCTGACAATTCTTTATTTATTTTTGAATCTCTATCTCTAATCTAATCTTAATTTTTTTTTACTTTATTAATTATACAACAATTGTGGTTTTAATGCCAATAAGTTAACACTAAAGTTAAAGCAAGCTGTGTGGATGAGATTAACATAACATCATGATAATCCTTTACTACTACATTCAAAATACATCACTATATCATAAACATCCTTTACATCTCATAGTCTTTTTTTAACCCAAAAGATTTTTGCTTAAGTAATCCTTTTTTTTCTTGGTATTTTTAAGATTATTGACTATCAACTGTTACTGTTAAGAATTTGTTGGGAATATTGTAAAATCTAAGTTACAAATTTAGAAAACCCTTTTTATAAATGAACTGGATTAAATTCAATGATCTTGTTATATGACAATTAATCTTTTTATAGTATCAATGTTAATTTATTATGTGCTCATACCAACTTTGAAACTTTTGGCGATATTGTCTTCTTCTACTTATATCCATCATCAGTTGTTTCAGTACTATTCGTAATTTATTAATATATCAAATATTGCATTTCCTCTATCAATCTATTTGAAACAAAATTTATTGTAAAAACTAATAACCTAAAAAAAGGAATGATTTAGAGCAGAATTTCATAAAAATTAATTATTAGGTGTGGTTAGATACATAAAAAATATCTTAAATCTATTCATATTTATATAAAAATTTATATAAAAATTGAATGCTTAAAAATAATTTTATTGTTTTTAAATTAGGAGTTCTTAGAATCTGATAAAGGAAAATTGATTTATTTAATACTATTATTATTAACATGGTAAATTAAGTATTTAAAGATTAAATTAAAATAAAATTAATTAAATAAATGTAAGATATCTGCCTAAGAAGTTAATATTAAATCATTTAAACTTACTAAATTTTTAAATTTATTTAGTGATTTATTTAAATAGAAAAACATCTTATAATAAGATGGGTTAATTAATAAAATACTTTTAAATGAAACTTCAAAAGCCAATTGTTGTTTCATAATCCTAATATTTCTCCTAAATTATTTAGAATTTTTTCTTTAAAAATCTTTTATATAATGAGTTCAAATCAATATCTATCAAAAAAAATAAATCAATTTGTTTTAAATAAAAACGATATTAATTCTTATCTAAAATAAAACAAAATATTTGTTGATTTTCAAACAATACAAATAATTTATTACATATTAACTTATAATTTAAAAATAAAACAATATAATACAACTTAAATTTAAAATAAGACAACTATTTGTTAATTTATTACATAATAAGTTATTATTTTTTTTAAATTAATATGATTCTGAATTTACTACAAAATATATTGATTATCATTTTATAATTATAAATTTTTAGCTTTAAAATAAAATAGTATAACAACATAATCTATGTTTCAAAATCATAGCTAAAGCTAAAAAAAGCCTGAATTCAAAATAATATCAAAAGGTTAAGTTAGAAATTAAAATCAACCATATCTTGGGTTTATTACTCTAACTTATAATCAAATTTCTTCTTTGATATGTGGTCATACTTTTTGAAATATATCTTAAATAATCTTAACAAACAATCACACTAATAACAATTAATAACAATGTGATAATTTTAATTATATATATAAAAAATAATACTCTTATAAACTTAATTAATTTAATACCTTATATATGATTTAACTTTCTATGAAATTATTGCAAGATAACTTGATAATCTTTAAGTTTAAGAATGTAAAGGAAATTTAACTGTGACTTAAGGAAAAAATGAAAGAAATATTGTAATTTCAAAGTTGGGTATCAAGGTAAAAACCTTTGACGACTATTCTATCTATCAGAAAACTTCAAAAATACTTGGATCTAATATAAACCAAAAGGGTATTAGGATCAATTTATTTTAGTGGGTATAATGATTTATTGAATATGGGGGAGAATATAAAGGTATTTAATTTTTAATTAATAGTATAATTTAGCTCTCCAAGACTTATCAAAACTAATTTCTTCATTAATCCAGAATATTTTTTTGATAAAAATATTATCTAAATAACAAAAGTAGAGTAATATTTAAAGGTATCAAATAATAATTATGATTTTGTGATTTGATTTCACTCATATTGAAGATTATAAATAATTAAGCTGTTTATAATTTTATGAGCATCAATAGGTTTAGTCAGAAGACAAAATCTACTCTAAATAA